ATTATTGTGAATTTGTAAAGAAAACACAATGTAATTTTGACTTAAATTTAAGCAGAGATTTTGCTGCACAACTGCTACCGCAACGACAATTTTTTTTCTCGTCTTGGACTTCACGTCAAATTACGTCATGTTCTTGTAAATGTTGTAAACCCATGTGCTTGAGCGGCTACTCCTGGTAGCCTGATAGGATGCGTGCGCAAAGTAGCTCACTCAAACGTGCAACCCCTGACTGGTAGCATGGGTAGGTGGTTCCGCCGCAGCGCGCGCTGCGAGTGTGTGTTCTTTTCCTGCCTCAACTTCTGAAGGGGCCAATTTCACCATGCCCATAGCACGTTAAAGTGATGCTTGTTGGGCCACATTGGAGGCATGCATGATTAGAATGCATGGTGCAAAACAAGATGTGGGACAATATTGAAAGGGATTTTAGTTCCGGTAATCATAAATCCTCTCCCCTTTGAGTCCTCAATCGGGTTACAAACAATAATTATTCTAACGGTACGGCATTACATTCAATAAATATTTGTTCCAGCTTTTAAAGTTTGAAGAACAACCTAAAGAATCGTTCAAATAACAATTCGACATGCACCTGACATGGGCAGTTGGCACGACGTAGCCCTACACATGAAGGGCCGTACATCATATGGCTCTCTTTTGAGATTTGTCTTTTAACTGTTGCCAGACAGCCCTACTTGTATGGAAGCTTGGTGCAGATAGTCGGGAACTTTGAACACAATTTTTTTTCAGAAATAAAAACAGCCAGACATTTTTACTTACACCAGTCGACTACTCAAGAGTTTACTATCTGACTATCCCAATAAAATTCCCATGACCAAAATTACCGTATTCGTCTTTTTTAAAACCAAAAAAGGCATCTTTTAAACCCAGTCTGTAATGTATGCTGACGATGTCCGTGGCCATTTTTAATAAATACGCACGATATGATTTTCATCATAAACTTACTGAAGGTATATTTTGCAGAAGCCTCAATCGCGGGCCACCACGCGACACATCAACAGAATCAGTAAAGTTGTGCTATTGTATATGCCACGCAAATGAAACGAGTTTTATGGTACTGTACGTATGTACATGTACATTATACGGTTTTACTGAAAATTCTTGTCATTATTTCACTTTTTAAATGCAAGCATCATATTTGGGGCCAAATTACAGAAGCAAGTGGCCCGGAAAGTCCCCAAGAATGCACCAGAGAGCATCTAGAATCCAACATTTCCCGGGGCCCTTGAGTGGGTCCCGAACGCCACGCCGTGGCTTCGCAAAAATCGATCAGGATGGAAAACATGAGTGCCCCCCCCCCTTTTTTATACTTTCCGACGGGCCTGGTTACTAGTGCACTTCCTGGCGCCCTCAAGGACTGGGGGTACATTTGCCAGGGCCAGCCTACTGGACTCCCTCCGCAGGCCGTATGCTTGAACCTGTACCTAAACTGAAGACGGTGATCTGAATCGGCGTATTAACGAATGGCAGTGTCGTGACAACTAAATTGACATTAATTAACATTGTAATTAGCAAAATATCATGGGGCAGTATTCGTCGAGGGCGATTGACAGTCTTCAACACAGATGTTCTGTATATATGTATTCCATATAATTTTATGGAAGTTAAAAATAATCTCCCTGGCCTTGTGGCCATATGAACAGCGAATATTGATTGTATACGTGTAAAATTGCTGTAGCTCTGTTTTAGGAAGCAACAAAATGTTCTACCAAACGTTCTTACCGGAAATGTATACAGGTGAACAAATTTAGGTTGTTTCCCTTCTCCAGGGCCGAACATGATAATCTTAGATACTGCAGAGAGCTCAAAGCTGACAAGCATGTACGTGTGTTTGCAGAGTAGCAAGATTTCAAACAAATTTACTTGAAACATTTTCAAATTAGAGGGCCTTGAAGGGCAAGGCTCTAAAATTACAAGACATCGATACCTCAAGGCTAAGACTAAGGCCTAAGCACCATCGATATATCTATATATCGATATTATCAATATGGGTATTGATATCGCTGATGTTAGTTATTTGGTAATATCGACGAATATCGAAACTTTGAAAACATCGATATTGAAAAATATATCGAAAATATCGCTTCTGAGGAACGAACTTTATTGAAAAATAAGGAGGTGCACCGTCACATTACCGTAATTCTGTATAGGCTACGTACGGCTTACGTTGGTTCTCACACTGAGTGAAAATGTCCCTGTAGCTTATACTCCGGGTGGCATATACGGCGACATTTGAAGAATAAATTCAATCACTTATCTCGGTCTCGCACTCAATAAGTCGCGTACACGTTGCTTCAAAAATATTACAAAATTTATCTTCCAAAACAGAGAATTATTTGCTTACCAAACGTACGTAGACTAGCGCTGATGATATGCACGGCAGTGTGAATCCCATCCCACGTAGGCAATTAACGTACGTAATGCGGACGCTAGAACAAGTCGCCAACGTGAATTGAATCACACCATTACAGTGTAGGGGTGTACCCTTAGAACAAGTTACCAGCAATTTACGCCTGTTATAATACCTTGAAAATTGAAAATGAATAAAATTCGATATATCGATAATATTGATATAAAAACCGATATATATTAGTATCGGCCAAAATACAATATCGACGGTGCCAAGGCCAAGGCTGCCCTTACGTCTTAAGGCTGAGGCCAAGGACCTATAATCAAGCCTTAAGGCCAAGGCTCAGCACCAAGGCACTATACATCACTCTCAATTAAGGATCCAGAAGACATGAAAAGGTCCCCTTCGTGGTCATAGGCTGGCTATACTGCTCTAACATAAATGCAAATAGGGGAGTGTCAAAATTACGAAAACGTGTTTCTTTGACAATGACTACAACCGTTTAAAGATCAGACACATTGGTAATGCACAATTTCACTTTTCATGAAATCTACGGTAGTTATGTATATATTAAAAACAATCTACAATCTATGTAACAAACAAGATTGCTACTGACGTCAAAAGAACCAGTTGCAGGTCCACATCATATCAGGCAATAGGAAAACTACAGTCGTTGAGAGCATCCAATAGCAGCCTGTTTTGATGACGTCACACTTGCACGGGGTTTTGTCTACGTGAAAACTGAGGGTATCCATGAAGTCAACGCTGTCAGTGCTGGCTACACTCTTCTCTTCCTCTTGCGCCTTGGAGTCATTATTACACGTGTGTCATTGCAGCAAAACCTATCGGTGCACCACAGGGCCGTTTTCCAATACTCAACTTCGTCTCCGTCTCAGTCTTCGTCTTCGAAACCAATTGCCGGTTGTGGGCCTGAAGCCACTGAATTAAATTGAAGTACTGTTATGTTTGGCTCTTTTGCATCTAATTACTTGATGTTTTGTGGCATTATCAGACTTACCATAGCGCTCACAACTTCAAAGTCAGGTAGTAAAACAAAAAAGTCGAAACCTGAAGCCGAAGTCGAGTATTGGAAAAGGGCTCAGGACTCTATGAAATTGACGAATGCTATATTAACTTCAGGAGAGGATTTGTGCCGTCAACACTCAGTGCTGGATATATACATGCATTCTTTTCAATTTCTCTAGCACCATTGCAGCCAAACTTGGACTAAAACCATTACAGGACACTATCATAAAATTGAGGAATGCTATAGCCTATCAACTTCTTGAAAGTTTGTTTACCACTTTACAAACCACTTGACAAATCATGCAAAATAAGGTTCACTGATCCATACATGTTCTTATGTATGAATCATTCCCGAAAATGCCCATTTACTACATTTTGCTATTTCGTTGGGAGAATGAGCAACCTTGGATTCAAATTACGATGCAAATTTTGGGTTCGATGATAACAGTACAGAATTTTTATAAAGCGCACAAATCCACCTAAAACTGCTTTATAGCGCTACAAAAATTAACAATGCAAGACATTTTACAGGCTACCTCTTTAAGCAAGATTATACAAGTATGTTTGATAGCCGTTTTAAACGACACGAGATAAATGTGCTGGACTGCACACTGATAGGGAGCAGTAATCCTGACAGATCTGTCACCTCAGGACCGGTATGATCTTGGTACAACTAAAAGATGTACCCTATAGTTTGGAGCTATAAAAAGGAAAGATGTCATTTTCCATTGGGTTTCGTGTTGGGTGAAATGATTTAAACTGCATTATCAAAATGTGTATGAGTTATAAGTATCGGTGTAATACCTTCATAAACAAACGACATGCTTAACGAGACAGCAAAATAAGGCATCTTTGAGTGTGAAATGTCAGAGATATCCCACCTACGGGTGGCAAAATATTTCCAAGTTTTCTCTGGATGGTAGCTGGCTAATAACCCTCCAGCTGCAAATAATACCCCAGTACCACATTATTTTTGTGTCCCAACCACATGGCTACATATATATAGGCACATTCAAGCTGTAGGCAAGTAGTTGGGACTCAAATGTGGTGCTGAGGGTTGCAGGCCAGTATTAGGTCCACAATTACCTGCAGCCTGGACCAAAGCATGGTTTGTAGGCTGTCCAAATTCTCTGCTATTAGAGCCTTTCGTGGCACGTGGACTGGCCTGGTGGTTTGTTAAAAAGGTGGATGAAATGCAGGGGCAGGGCTGTCAGCTTGTTTCTCTGAAAGTATCGCACCAAACAGGACCCTCCAAATTGCCCTATTTTGCAATAGAGTGTAGGCATCAATTTCCAAAATGGCGATGGGCCTCGTGATTATTTTTTTATTTTTAGGGGTGATTTTCTCTGGCGAGAAATATCTTCAAAAGTTATAAGTTAAGCCATTGAAAACTGAAAGGAAAATGGAAGATTAGGAAGTGAGCTTTAATTTGATATGTGTCTTGAACACCTGTGAAACTTATGAGTATTTTTCCTGATTTTCTGAAGTGGGGATCTTTATCACTGTAGTCTGTGGCAACTCAGTGATTTACTGGTCTGCACCCTGTGGTACGTACAATAGGTGGTATAGCGCCACCTGTAGCTCAGCTAGCTGGAGCTAGCTGGCCAGCCAGAGTCTGTGGACAGATAGTTACTGTAGTAAGACTAACGTTAGTAAGAGATTACTAGAAATTTCGCCATTTTTTTCCACTTTTAGGTTCGGGACCACGTTTGAGAACAATCTGGAGACGAAACATCGTGACAACAGTAAGACAGCACCACCTAAATTTAAATAACAAAAAAATAATAATGAAGCAATTTGTTCACGTTGCGATGTCATGTTAGTCGTAAGCGTGTGTAGGCCAGCCGACCTAGCGAGTGAAGGGGCCCACTCGATGCTTGCGATGATCCGATCCAGATGAGGTGTGTTGACGCCATGGCATGCCGACAGTGAACGGGGCAGATCTGATCTGAACGAAGAGACGAGCCACGTACAGTTGTAACTTATAGTGTTACTGTTAGGCCTCCACTTCTAGGGCATGTGGGGGAGTGCTGCCAATCATGGGCGGAAATCTCTCCTCGATCGTGGGGGGACATCCATTTACACTCTTTGTGCACACTGTGGTTAATATCTTACTCCATTTATAAAAACTCAAAAGGGCAAATCCTCAATCCATCAATTCCTTTTGCTTAACATGGAGGGGACATTTTTCTGTGGTTTAAATTTCAACTTCCCGTGTCATGTCTTTTCATTGTGATTTTTTTATATAGGAATATGCATATGATGCACATCGTTCTACGCGTCCTCCTTACGGTCAACTGTTCAAGTACTGTAGGACTATGCGTACTCCATTTGTTTGTACAGCATTTACGAGTTCTAAATGACATCACACCTTGATACTCTAAGGTTGAGTGTATGCAGGCTGTTCTTGACACGAGTTTCTTGTTCTTGAGCTCAAACAGCAGGAACATGACCCAAGAGCAATGTTCTCGGAACAGGATCACACAGCACCTCGTCAGGGCTTTACCAGGAACACAGGGAAAATGCTTGAGATTTGATTTTTGAACAGCCGCGAAAAATAGCGAAATGGCTCACAAAGCCAGCGACAATGGGACGTTTTGCAAACTTAACATTAATAATTTCCCATAACACAGAAATAAATGTTTTTGTTAAATAGAAGAGAATTCAGCCCAGTTCCAAACAATAAGCCTTGAAGAATGTCCATGGATGCCCCACATAGCTTTTTGCTTGCCACTTCCAGTGATAAACAGTTGTCCGTTCCTGGCATACGAGCACCCCTCCTATGAACAACAAATTGAGCTGTTCTTGAACATCAAGAACAAGCTGCCTGAACTCAGCCTTTGAATACCCAAGTGTTGAGCAATTACATTGCTTTTTGTGATAAGATCTTGACACAGGCCCAAACTATGTTTGTTAAAGGTTTGTGTTAACATGGTTGATACTGGTCTGGAATTTCCATAGTGACAAGACTCCCAGATATGTCAAGTTGGGCTTTTTTTTTTTAAAGGAAAGATTTTACTATGAGTATATGGTGGAAGTTAGTTCCTTATAATGGTTCAGCGAATCAATGTTCAAATACCATAGTGATGTTGGCAAATCCATCTTAAAGTACCCAGTCACAAATGGAGTCCCAAGCTCTTCAGATGAAGTGCACCAACTTGTTCTTGAGTAGCTCTTCAACTAACTCATTTCTTGTGACAAGACATGCAATGGACTTGTCATGGACATGACTAGATCCTGGCTCATACCGTTTAGATTGAAAATGCAAAGACTTCTTTGTACCTCTATGTACATGCAGGGTATATCCTGAACTGAAGAGGTCAATCTGCACC